TGGATTCACTTTCATCAACGCATAATGTCCTGTGGGCCCAGCCCCTACTGATGAGTCTGCTCCAGCTTCTGCATGACAGTGGCTTCCTCATTAGCCTCCTTTCCTGGCCATTCTCCTGGCCTGTGGCTGGCCCCTCCCCAGCCAGGCCATCATGTCCCCAGGTAACATCCATGTGGCTCCCTGGGCAGCACACAGCATGCCTCAGTTGCTCTCACTAGAAGACAATACTTCAGGTCCCACTTCCTAAGGTCTGGAAAATTATGATGGCCTAATGAAATAAGCTGAGAAATTTAAGCCTAGCATTATTTCTCTCCCAATTATTTGACAGCATTCTGTGGTGAAAGTCTTTGGGCCCATAGTTTGCTTTGTAGAATGGCTTTTAATCGTAGATTCATTTAATCAATATGATATATTTGGGATTTTTCCTTTTGTTGGATTCTGTGTCTTGACAAATAGACAGTTGTGTCTCCACCAACACCATCAATATACAGAGGCCTCTCATCATCCCATAAATTTCCCTCTTGCCCCTTTGTAGTCATTCCACATCCCCACCCTAACCCCGAACAGGCACTGATTTTTTGGGTCTTATTATTATTACTATTGCCATAATATCACATCTATGAATTCCCATGGTGTTTAGTATTTTGCCATATAATATATGACTTAAATAGACCCTTCACTAAAGAACAGATACGGATGGCAAATAAACACATAAAAACATGCTCCATATCATGAATCATCAGGACAACGTGAACTTAAACCCCAGTGACTCTCTCTATACAGCTGTGTTGACTAAAGTAACAACACATCTGCTGTGCAGGACTGGCAAGAATGTGGGGCTTTGCTGATACATTTGAGCTTAAACCTCCCATCTCACTTTGGTTTTTGCTTATGCAAGGAATCTACTCCCTTTTATCTCCTTGCTTTACTGCTTTTGGATTGAGTGTTTTAAGTTTTGTTTTATTCCTTCATTGTATTGGTTCCTAGTGCTACCATAGCTAATTACACCAAAGGAGTGACTGAAAACAATGGGAAATTATTCTCTCACAGTTCTGAGGGCCAGGCACCCGAAACGAAGCACACAGCATTCCTCAGTTGGGCAGGGCCAGGCTTTCTCTGAGGTCCAAGGGAGAATCTGTCCCTGCCACTTCTAACTTCTGGTGGCACCCAGCAAATCTTGGTGTCCCTTGGCCTCTATCTTCACTCTGATCTTCACCTCTGTTGTCATATCATCTTCTTCCCTTTGTGTGTACGTCTGGACTTCCTTCTCCTTTCTCTGGTAAAGACACTAGACATTGGATTTAAGGTTCACTATGATCCCATATGACTTAACTAATTACATCTGCAAATACCTTATTTCCATATAAGGTCATATTGTGCAGTTCTGGGTGGAGATGACTTTTGGGGAGGCATGAGTCAACCGAGTACATGCATCTCCTTCCTAGTGAGTTGTATATTCCTCTATCATTATAGTGGAGATTATAACATAAATCCATGACTTTTTAAAGTCTAATGTAAATTAGACCTTATATTATTTTTCAGATGGTGCACTGTGCTTAAGCCACTTGAACTCCATGTAGCCCCCTGAATTTTGTGTTCTTGCTATGTATTTTATTTCTATGAATATTTTACAACGTATAAGACATTTTATACAGTGAACATTCACTTAGATTTTCCCCATGTGTTCTTCTTTTGCTACATTTCATTTCCTTATCAACTTCTTGCTTTCATCTGTGATTGTTTTTGTTCTGCCTAATGCTCTCATTAGTATTTTCTGTAGCGCAGATCCTGCTGGTGACACATCCTCTCAGTGTCCAGAGAATGTCTTTATTCTGTTCTCATTTGGGGGAATCTTCTTCCCAGGTATAGAATTCTAGCTTTGTGCTTCTCTTCTTTCAGACAGTAAATATATCATTCCATTGTCCTCTACCTTCCATCATTTCACTAAGAAGTCATCTGTTAATGTTATTGTTGCTTCTTTGAAGGTAATATGTCTTGTTTTCCTCTGGCTGTTTTTAAATTTTTCTCAGTCTTTGGATTTCAACCCCAATGTGCCCAGGTGTAGTTTGCTTTGTATTCACTTGCTAAAGATTCTTGGTTTGGGAGGTTCCTTTTTTCTTTTTGTTTTTTCTTTTCTTTTCTTTCTTTCTTTTTTTTTTTCTTTTTCAACAGGTCTCCTTCTGTTGCCCAGGTTAGAGTGCAGCAGTGCAATCTTGGCTCACTGCAGCCTCTACCTCCCAGGCTCAAGTGATCCTCCTCCTTAGCCTCTTGAGTAGCTGGGACTACAGATGTACCTCCAAGCTGGGCCAATTTTTTATATTTTTTGTAGAGTTGTTGTTGTTGTTGTTGTTGTTTTTGAGACAGAGTCTTGCTCTGCAGTGGTGTGATCTTGGCTCACTGCACACTCTGCCTCCCACATTCACACCATTCTCCTCCTCAGCCTTCCGAGTTGCTGGGACTACAGGCACCTGCCACCATGCCTAGCTTTTTTTTTTTTTTTTTTTTTTGTATTTTTAGTAGAGATGGTGTTTCACCATGTTAGCCAGGATGGTCTTTGTCTCCTGACCTTGTGATCCGCCCACCTCTGCCTCCCAAAGTGCTGGGATTACAGGTGTGAGTCACAGCACCCGACCAAGATTGGATTTTGCTATGTTGTCCTGGCTAGTCTTCAACTCCTGAGCTCAAGCAATTTGCCCACCTTGGCCTCCCAAAGTGCTGGTATTACAGGTGTGAGCCATCACACCTGGCCTAAAGATTCTTAAATGTTTTTTGCATCTACACATTTCATCAGGTTAAAGTTCTTGTCCATTATATCTTCAAATATTTTACTACCCCTATTTTACTCCTCTCCTTGTAGGATTCAATCATTTTTCCCATAGATTTTCACAAAATACAGGCATATTTATTGCTCCACTTTCTTTATTTCCCTCTTTTCTTTCCCATCTCAGTATTCAGGCTTGAAATTTCCTCATCTCCCTTCCTTTACTAATCTTCTCTTTGGTTTTGTCTATAGGTTGTAAAGCTAAGCTACTTAGTTCTTAATTTCAGCTATTGTGTTCTTCGTTTCCAGAATTTCTGTTTGATTCCATTTAATAAATCCAGTTTGACAATGAAATTCTCCATTTGTTCTCTTTTTTCTTGAGCAAAGTTGATCAGCATTACTTTAAATTCCAGTTTCACAATTCTAATATGTAGATCTCCTGCACATCTGTTTCTCTTGTTTGTTTTTTCCTCTTGGTCTTTTGGTCCGTTGGTCTTGTCTTCCAGTATCCCTAGTAATTTTTTGACTGAATGAAGGACTTTATGAAAATTTATAAGATTATTTGAGCTTCTGTTGATGCTGCTGTCTCCAGAAGAGACCACTTTTGTTTCCGGGAGGCAGTTAGGCTACAGGCAGATCATATGAGTTCAATACGAGCTGATTTAAAGACAGGCTTCATTCTTCTTTCTGGTTTTTCCTTCCTCCTAGGGGTAGCCCTTCACTTATATTCAGCATTTCCAACTGAAAGCCTAGGTTTTTTTATTTTTTATTTTTTTACTAGACTCCCTCCACCTTGTCAGGTCCTGAACTCTGTTTTCTTCTAATTCCGTGAGACTACTAAAAGCTCTGCTCAGCTGATCAGCCTCTCGGCCTTTTGGCTGTGGTCTGTGAATTGGTAAATGCCTCAATAAGAAAATCCACAAGGAATATTGGAGTCACTTCTGTGCACTTTCTCTCTAATGGGGATTCACTCAAGTCTCAGCTGTCTTGATACTTCCCGGCCCTTACGAACAGAGATTTTGTTTGTAAACCAGATTTCCTCATTTTTCTCAGCTAGATGCCAGTTTGATGTAAGCCAGTTCCCCATACAGGAAAGAACTTGACAGAGCATTTTATACAGCATAAGAAAAAGGTGGCACAATGGAATCGTTTTCAGAGCTCAGAATTATTCTTCAATAATTTCTCTAAAAAAGTATAACTTGAGCCCATTTTTATAAAGGCTCTTCCTTGGGCCAGGCACTATTTTAGGCCTTTGAGGACTGAGTGGTGAACAAGACAAACACACTTCCTGCCCACATGCAGCTTACGTTTGAGGAACGGAAGCTGAGGACAGCAAGGACAATGAGCAGGAACGGGGAAGACATGTGGTGCAGAAACACTGATGATGGCCAGGCACAGGGCTCACGCCTGCAACCCCAGCACTTTGGCCAAGGCAGGAGGATCACTTGAGACCCCATCTGTACAAAAAAAAAAATGCACAAATAAGAAATATTGATCATGGGACTTGAGTTATCTATGATTGAAGCACATCATAAAGCTATGACCTTTAAAAGCAGAACCAAATCCATGGGCCAATCCAAAACGTTTCTTTCCTGTCCGAAACCCAGTCCTATCCCCAGCATTCCCACACACACGTCTGAGGGGTCCTCGGGGAAGGCCGTGGGGAGGGGCGTGGCCTCTCCTTCCTTGCTCCTCTTCTCCCTGTTTTGGGCTCTATCTCCTCCAGTGATGGGGACGGGGGAAGGAATGTGCAGGGCCACCACTGCGGGGCTCACTGGCCCCTGCTGCACTTTCTCGCCGGCTGCTCCAGTGATCCTGTGCTTCTACTGGCTGCTTCTGCCTCTTCAGTGAGGACCTGCTTTAGGGAGGAGATGCCCCCATAATCATGAGTGGGACAGCTCTTGCCTTGGCATGCCACACTTTGCATAAGGGTGAAGGGCCACCCCTGCCTTTACAGCCCCCTTCTTACAACCTGGGCAGCACTGGAGGGGTGCAGACCAGGCCCACCTCCACTCTTGCCCCCAGGGATCCACATGGGACAGGCTACAGCCCAGACATGACAGGAGATTTATGAGCTGGGCCACATCACAGGCAAAAAAACATCTCTAGTCACGACACAAGCTGCCTCTCAGCAACCAGGAAGGAGAGGCTGTGGGCCCTGGAACAACAAGGCCAGGAGGGGTATAAAAGCCGGAGAGCCCCACGAAGCTCACACACTCACACACTCACTCACTCCCACACTCATTCCCTCACACCTCCTCCAGCTCACCTCCCCAACCCCAGCATGGCCGCATCTACCATGTCCGTCTGCTCCAGCACTTACTCTGACTCCTGGCAGGTGGACGACTGCCCAGAGAGCTGCTGTGAGCCCCCCTGCTGTGCCCCCAGCTGCTGTGCCCCGGCCCCATGCCTGACCTTGGTCTGCACCCCAGTGAGCTGTGTGTCCAGCCCCTGCTGCCAGGCGGCCTGTGAGCCCAGCCCCTGCCAATCAGGCTGCACCAGCTCCTGCACACCCTCATGCTGCCAGCAGTCCAGCTGCCAGCCGGCTTGCTGCACCTCCTCCCCCTGCCAGCAGGCCTGCTGCGTGCCCGTCTGCTGCAAGCCTGTGTGCTGCAAGCCTGTGTGCTGTGTGCCCACCTGCTCTGAGTCTTCCTCTTCATGCTGCCAACAGTCTAGCTGCCAGCCAGCTTGCTGCACCTCCTTGCCCTGCCAGCAGGCCTGCTGTGTGCCTGTCTGCTGCAAGCCCGTCTGCTGTGTGCCTGTCTGCTCTGGGGCTTCCTCTCTGTGCTGCCAGCAGTCTAGCTGCCAGCCGGCTTGCTGCACTACCTCCTGCTGCAGACCCTCCTCCTCTGTGTCCCTCCTCTGCCGCCCCGTTTGCAGGTCCACCTGCTGCGTGCCCATCTCCTCCTGCTGTAACCCCGCCTCCTCCTGCCAGCCCAGCTGCTGAAGCCCGGCCTCCTGTGTGTCCCTCCTCTGCCGCCCCACGTGCTCCCGCCCGGCCTGCTGAGCCCTCTGCTCAGGCCAGGAGTCCAGCTGCTGATGTGCACACCCGCCCTGGGCCAGCTGGGCTCAATTCCTGACCTGGTTTAGGTGGTTGCCCCCACCTAGGATGGGTCCCTGTGTCTCCCCTGTGCTGAGGTGACCTCCCCCTCCTTGCTCCCAGGAGCCCCCATTCTCGCAGCTCCCCACCTCTTGCCTCCCAGCAGGTGCCCAGCTGCCTGCTGGGTCCCCTGTCCTCCCTCCCAGCTTTTCTGCCCTGGGTCACTTGGCCTCGACTTGAACCTGTCAGCACCTCCTCCTGCTCCCCAATAAACTCTCCTTGGTCACCTGATTCTCTTTTCCTGTTGTGCTCCTGGGGGCACACACGGTTTTGAGCTGACATTGGTCTCCTCCAGCCATGACTGTTTCTAGGAGTGAGTGACTTAACCTAGAAGTCACAGGGGACAGTGGCCTAACTCCTTCAGGGAGGTCACCAGGTGGGACTCCCAGCCACTCCCAGGAAGGCTCAGTCCTGGCTCAGCCTCCATGCCCGGGTCTTCCTGAGCCTGGTCATTCACTCTGGTGCCCTGGGCTGTGGGGCTCTCCAGGTCTCAGGACCGTCCCACTGTCCCACCTGGGAGAGCCCACCCTGCAGGGTCACCTGCCAGGAACCTGATCTGGCATCCGGGCACTGCAGCCTCCAGGTCTGGTCACTCACTCTGTGCCACCCCATGAGGGTTCTGCCCATTTAGCAGCAATGCGAGGGGAGAGTGAGGGGTGCTGCACCTGCACAGGAAACAAGGGACTTGATGGGGACAAAAGCATCATGGGGTGGGCGGACGGATGCACAGGATTCCCCGAAACCTGGGCACTGCCCGGGTTCTTCTCTGGGGGCAGCAGGTTCCACGGAGGTATAGGGATGAGGAGCCTGGGTCCCACAGATGACGCCGGTGTGGGCACACAGTCAGCGACACTCCCATCTCTCTAAGGCTTGGTCCATGCAAGGGGCATGAGCTGCCTGTGGTGTCCTGTGGGAAAGGCCATCAGTGGGGACAGTGGTAAGATCAGGCAGCACATGGGGCTCTGAGCAGAGCAGTCTGTCCTCAGACTGAGACAAGCTCCTCCAGGCCAGCTGCAGAGACCAAAACCCTGATGAGAATGCCCGCCCTGGATGCTGCAGTCGCCCCGCAGCCAGACCGGCCACAGCCTGATGGATGTGGTGCTGCCGTGGCTGTGGTCACAGCAGGCGCAGAAACGCCACAGAACGTGAGGTGGAACCCGGACGGGGGGCTGAGGGGGCGTGTGATTGCTGCCCAGTGCCCTCAGTGACTGGGGGACCCTGCATGACCCCGGCTCGGCCTGCTCTGCTCTCAGCTCCCTGCCCTCTGCACTGACGGCTACTGGGAACCCACTATGGCCTAAGTGCACGGCCACCCACACTGTTTCCTGTTCACATTCTTAGCCCATTTTCCATCATGCTGCGTGTTTGTCTTATGGATTTAGGGCCGGGGGATCCTCTGTCCATCACATGCACTCCAAATATTTCCAAACCCGTCATTGCTTCTGTACGGCACACTCCCTGAGACTGGAAACAGGCCTACATTTGCTGCTACTGGTTTCACTGTTATTGCCTGGATTCAACTTTTTGCCCCATTTGCTGATAGGACTTGTGTGAGGCATGACGCATTAATCTTTCTCTTCCACCCATAGCCAACTGTCCCTTTTTAAAGTTAGTTTGTTCTCTCCAACTCCCATTTGAAACATCTCTTGCACCTGATAAAAATGTTTGTATAGTCTGCTTCTGAAATCTATAGTTTGTATTTTGTTCTATGAATCTCTTGATCTACCCTTGCATCCATTCCAGATGTTTTATCCATGTTATTCAGCTTCATAATACATCCTAACAGCTCATAAGGAAAGTGCCACTATCTTATTTTCTAAAAACGTTGATTCTAGCTTGTTCTCGATTAATTTTAGAAAGCTTTTCAAGTAGTTTTTAAACTGCTATAATTTTTATTGGGATTGCATTGAGCTTTTAAATATGTAGGAGGAAACTATAATTGTTCATATTGTCTTGCCTTGCAGTTACATAGTACAATAGGCACATTAGAATTCTATCATTTTCTTCTATAGATCTAAAATATTCCTCTTTGGGTTAATTCCTAGGTATTTCATAGGGATGTTTTACTAGTGTGAATGGGGAACAGTTTTCTGTTATGTTGTCTTAGTATATAAATCTTACATATATATCTATATAAACTATTCGTATATATATTATCTTCATATCAAACCATATGTTTAGCTCCTTTCCTTTGCAAGTTCTCTTATTAGTTCTTAGAGTTTGTCATTGATTTTCTTGGATTTTTCTGTGTAGATGAGCTTATCATTTGAAAATAAGGAGAATTTAATTTCTCATTTCCAATCTTTAAAACTCCCATTTCTATTGTTTTTCTGTAGCAACATTACTTTGAACACCCAGGATGATGCTGAATAAAATTAAAAGAATCCTTGATTGTTCCTGACTTTCATGAGAAAGTGTCAAAGGTTCACCACTGCACATGGTGTTTGCTGTGGGGTTTAAGTAGAAACCTTTTTTTTTTTTTTTTTTTAACTAAGCCTATTTCCTTTTTGCTATGAATGTTCATTTACTAGAATCAAGAAGGAATGTTCGGAGGGGGAGAAGTGGATTCTAGAGACATGGTGCTCCCTGAGGCATAGTTTCTAAATCTCCCTAAATCCCAAATAGAAACAGAATTATCAGATAGAGAAAGAAAAACCCATGGGTTCCATTTAGGACAGAACTTAATGGCAAGATATCACCCAAGGGCCCAAAATGCGAGTGGGTAGGAACCAGGCCCAGAAGCCAGTGTTGCTGAGGTCTGTGCAGGAGGACGCCCAGGGGAGCACTGACAGGAGCAGCAGCCTGAGGATGGGAGAAGCCCAGCACTGCCTGGAAAGGGGGCCAGAGTGAGAGCAGCCCCTGCAGCTGGGCAGGTCCCTCCTCTCCATCAGCCATGGAGCACCAGCGGCCGCAGGGAGAAGCCTGACAGGGCTGGACTCGGCCACTGTGAACTCTCGAGCCTGAGTCACCAGGGCCTCCTTCCATGGAAGGGTCCCTCTGTCTCCCAACCTGAGGGTAAGGAGCTTGGAGTGGAAACAAAGTTGGGCAGAACAGAAAGTCCACTTCCAGTGGAAAAAGACCTAATAGCCCCATAGGCAGTTTTTTTGTTTTTGTTTTGTTTTGTTTTGTTTTGATAAACATAGAAATTGATCCTTCTGGTCTCAAAGCTCAGAACTTTGCTTTATCTGTAATCCCAGAACTTTGGGAGGCCGAAACAGGCAAATCACCTGAGGTCAGGAGTTCAAGACCAGCCTGGCTAACATGGTGAAACCCCGTCTCTACTAAAAATACAAAATTAGCTGGGTGTGGTGGCGGGCGCCTGTAATCCCAGCTACTTATGAGGCTGAGGCAGGAAAACTGCTTGAACCTGGGAGGCGGAGGTTCCAGTGAGCAGGGATCCTGCCACTGCACTCCAGCCTGGGCAACAGAGTGAGACTCTGTCTCAAAAAAACAAAAAACAAAAATAAAAACAAACAAAACCTTTGCTTTATCTGGGCAAGGAAGCAATGATGATGAACAAGGGGCCCCATGCCTCATTGTCAGGATGGGGTGATCTGGTGATTGATTGATTGAATGAGCAAAAAAGCTCATTGATACTTTTTTGAGAGGCCTTTGTTTTACACATTGTTACATTTCTTCCCTGCTACATAAATCCCTGGTTTTAGTCAGGAAGATGGATTTGAGACTGAACTCGCATCTCCTCCGATGCAGCACCCGACTAAAGCCTTCTTCCTGGGCAACTGATTGTCTCAGTGACTGGCTTTTTGTGTGTGAACAGCAGGACCCAGACTGAACCCTAGGTGTTTCAGTAACACACCAGGATGGAGTAAGAAGGACTAGATGGACTTTCCCACCTGGGCCAACTGAAACAAATTATCAAAATCATGCAACAGTGGTTGGGGATATTGGACTTGAAGCAGCACAGCACAGGCACCCCTGAGAGCAGGAGGCAAACACAGAAGTCTCACAACCATCCCTCCCAACACCCTGCTTAGAGAGTTTCCAGGAGACAGTGCAGACAGGGGAACCTGGGTTTCAGAGATGGATCTGGGAGGCGAGGAAGACCAAGGCAGTTCATGTTCCTAGGACAGAGTGCCAGAGGGGAAAGGGCTGCACCAAGAGAGCTGCCAGCTTCCACAGAGGTCCCCTCAAATCTTCAGCTTAGTAATGACCAGCAAATGTGTGTGAGACTGAGACTGGGGAGAACTGATAAAATTAGGTGCCATAACCCTCAGAGACCAAACAGAGCCAGAAATAGTGCCCACTCCCACCTGCTGGGGTGGAAAAGCCTCGTAGTTTTCAAGGCACTGGGTAGATGACTCAGAAGTGGGAGCATAACTAGCCCTAGAGTAACCACTGGTCCAGTCCTGCCTAACCCAGCTTATAGGCAAGCTGCAAGATAATGAGCTTTCCAGTAACTTAACTACACCCTAGAACACAGCTCAAGAGCATTCGTAGGAATCAAAATATCCAGCACCCAATAACATAAAATTCACAATGCTGGGCATCCATTCAAAAACTACCAGGCATGCAAAGAGGCAGGAAAATGTCACACCTATTAAGGATCAGATCAGGTGAAACTAACTCAGAAATGTCACAGATCATAGAGTTAGTAAGCAAGGACATTAAAGAGTCATAACTATATTCCATACATTCAAGAAGTTAGAGAAAAGGTAGGCATATCAAGGAAAGACGAGGAGGATCTTTTTAAAGAAGACACAAAGAGAACATCTAGAGAGGAAAACAATACCTGAGTTGAAAATTACACTGGATGAGAATAACAGCCGAATAAACACTGCAGAAGAAAAATCAAGTGAATATGAAGACACAGCAATAGAAACGATCTAAAAGGAAACACAGAGACAAAGAAACAAAGCACTAGTGAGTTGTAGGAAACATCCAGTAACCTCACATACATGTGATTGGGGTTCTCACGAAGAGAGAGGAGGAGGCATGGAAAAGAGACTGTCAGATTAGATAAAAAGGCAAATCTCAACTATGCTTCTTGCAAGAAGTACACTTTACATAAAATGACATAAAGAGGTTAAAGTTTTTAAATGAAAAATGGACTAAATTAATCCTGAAGCAAGCATAAAGTATGAAACAGTAAAGATAAAAGCAGAAATTGATTAAGTGAAAAATAATAAAACAATGTGATAATCAATGAAACCAAAGCTTGTTCTTTGAAAAGATAAATTTAATAAACATCTAGTTAAACTTACTGGGAAAAGATAACAAAGACACAAATTGTCACTATCAGGAAGGGAAGAAGAGGCATTACTACATATCCCACAAGCATTAAAAAAATAAAAAGGGGCCAGAGCAGTGGATCACACCTGTAATCCCAGCATTTTGAGAGGCTGAATTGGGAGGATTGCTTGAGGTCAGGAGTTCAAGACCAGCCTGGGCAATCTAGCGAGACTCCATCCATACAAAAACTTTAAAATTACCTGGGCAGGTGGCATGTTCATATTGTCCCAGCTACTCGGGAGGCTGAGGCAGGAGGATCACTTGAGCCTAGGAGTTCAAGGCTGCCAAAAACTGTATACAAACAATGTTTACAGAAGCTTTGTCCATAATCATCAAAACAGGAGACAAAACATCCCTCAGTCATTGAATGGGTAAACAACCTGTGGTATATCCATACAATGGAATACTACTGAGCAATTAAAAGCAATAAACTATTAACATACAGCACAACTTGGATGAATCCCAAGCACATTTTGCTCAGTGAAACAAGTGAGACCTGCCGGGTGGCATATTGCATGATTCCATTCATTATTCTACACACTGAATGCCCAAGTTACATGACATTCTAGAAGAGACAGTGAGTCAACACAAGGGGATTTTTGAGGATGCTGGAATTCCTCTGTCTGGCACTGTGGTGGTAGATACAGGACTTGAAATACTTGTCAAAATTCATGGAACTGTGCACAACAAAGGGTGAATTAAATGAAAAAGGAGAAAGAGGGGGAGAGGGCAGGAGGATGATGAGGAGGAGGAGGACAAGGAGGACAAGGAGGAGGAGGACAAGGAGGAGGAGGACAAGGAGGACAAGGAGGAGGAGGACAAGGAGGACAAGAGGAGGAGGAGGAGGAGGGGGAGAAGGATGAGGAGGAGGAGGATGAGGATAAGGAGGAAGAGGATTAATCATTGCTACTCGGTTCTATAAGGTTAAGGGAAGCAGGTGTACTTCCTCTCCCTAAAGAAGTTAAGAACCTAATTTTTGATTTTTTTTTTTTTTGCTCCTTATTCTTTTATGTATTATACTTCTCTTTGAAGTTGCTTTTTGTTTTGTGGGACTACATGCTCTGAAGACATTTTCATAGTTGCATTGTGTGAAACGCTCTGATTTCCGTTAGACCAGATGATTTAGTAGAGTTCGATATTCCCAGTAACTTTCCCGCAGACTGAAGATTTGGTTCGATTGTCGTTGGACATGCAGATTTTCTAAGCTGCAGTAGGATGCCAGTCTCTCTGGAGATTGTTAGGGTTTTTCTTTATATTTGGTGTCAGAAGTGTCACCAGTCTGTCCAGATGTGCAGCATTCTCCATTCAGTTTGTCCCATATTTGGTAAAATTTCAAATCTGAAGACCCTTGGTTTCATTCCATCCTGGGAAGTTTTCTCCGATTTTGATTTCTCCCTTTTGCCGCTTTTTCTGGAAAATCCTATTTGATTAACATTGGATATTCTGGAAGAATCTTGTTTCTCTTAAGTTTTCTCCTATATATGCCATCTGTGTCATTTTGCATTGTGTGTGAGACACTTCTTTCTCTCTTCCCGTTAACTCCTTCTCGCCGCAGCGGCTCCAGCCTGCTGTTCAACCCTTCTCTGCGTGCAGGGCGTCTTCAGCTCATGAGCAGCACTCATCAGAGGGGCCCTCACTCTGTCCTGACTTTCAGCGCCCTGTTGCCCAGGCACAGAGTCTGGGATTTCAGGTCCCCTGCAACATGACAGAGTGCACAGCTCAAAAGACAGGCTGCATGCTGAGGATACATGTTCTGTGAAATGTCTGCTTAGAGGACCAGGCACAGAACAGGGCATCAACCCAGCCCTCAACCGTAATCAGGGATTTTCCAGGCTGGGCAAATACTGTTGTGTAAATAAACTAGAATGAATGAGGACTCCAAGGACCCAGCTCAAAACACCAACAAGGAAAGGGAAGACTCGTGGAGCCTCCAGCTAGAACAACACACACCCTAGCCAAATATAAAAGCCCAGCTGCCCACAGCACCTCAGGCACTCACTCACTCACACACACACACACACACACTCACTCACACACACTCCCGGCTCAACCCCCAGTATGGCCGCATCCACCATGTCCGTCTGCTCCAGTGATCTGAGCTATAGCAGCCGGGTCTGCCTGCCCAGATCCGGTGACTCTTGCACTGATTCCTCCTGGCAGGTGGACGACTGCCCAGAGAGCTGCTGTGAGCCCCCCTGCTGCGCCCCCAGCTGCTGCACCCCAGCCCCCTGCCTGACCCTGGTCTGCACCCCAGTGAGCTGTGTGTCCAGCCCCTGCTGCCAGGTGGTCTGTGAGCCCAGCCCCTGCCAATCAGGCTGCACCAGCTCCTGCACGTCCTCGTGCTGCCAGCAGTCTAGCTGCCAGCCGGCTTGCTGCACCTCCTCCCCCTGCCAGCAGGCCTGCTGTGTGCCTGTCTGCTGCAAGCCTGTGTGCTGTGTGCCTGTCTGCTGTGGGGCTTCCTCATGCTGCCAGCAGTCTAGCTGCCAGCCAGTTTGCTGTGCCTCTTCCTCCTGCCAGCAGGCCTGCTCTGTGCCTGTCTGCTGCAAGCCCGTCTGCTGCAAGTCCCTCTGCTGTGTGCCTGTGTGCTCTGGGGCTTCCTCACTGTGCTGCCAGCAGTCTAGCTGCCACTCCTGCCAGCCCAGCTGCTGCCGCCCGGCCTCCTGCGTGTCCCTCCTCTGCCGCCCCACGTGCTCCCGCCCGGCCTGCTGAGGCCTCTTCTCAGGCCAGGAGTCCAGCTGCTGACAGGCATGTCCCCCAGGGCCAGTCAGGTTCAGGTCCTGACCTGGGTTAGGTGGCTGCCCCCACCTGGGATGGGGTCCCCGTGTCTCCCCTGTGCTGAGGTGACCTCCCCCTCCTTGCTCCCAGGGGTCCCATCCTTGCTGCTCCCCAGCTCCTGCCTCCCACCATGTGCCCATATGCCTGCTGGGTCCCCTGTCCTCCCTCCCAGCTTCTCTGCACTGGGTCACTTGGCCTCAACTTGAGCCTGTCAGCACCTCCTCCTGCTCCCCAATAAACTCTCCTTGGTCACCATTCTCTTTTCCTGTTGTGCTCCTGGGGGACACATGGTGTGAGCTGACATTGGTCTCCTCCAGCCATGACTGTTTTTAGGAGTGAGGGCAGTGGCCTACCTCCTCTGGACGGGTTACCAAGTGGGACTCCGGCCACACCCAGGAAGGCTCAGTCCTGCTCAGCCCCCTTATGCCCTGGGTGTGAGCAGGGCTGGGGTGGAGACTCCCTGCCACAATTCTCCTGGCTGTGGGCTCAGCTCTCCCTTCCTGGCCAGCTCCCTGCCCCACCTCAAGGCTCCCTAACGTTCCCACCATCACTGGAAGGATTTTGTCTTTCCTTTGTCTCTTACTGGCATCCACACATCACACCCATGCCCTGAAAACCTCCAGCTGGGAGTGTTCCCTCTCATGGGGCGGGGGGTGAGTTCGGGTGGCCGCCTCCCGCCATAGCATCAAAGGGGGTGGGTTGTCCTCTCCACTCCCAGGACAACCGGGGGCATGGGACCCAAACTAGGACAAGTGGGTTTTGCTGAATTGAACGTTAAATTAAATATGCAGACTGTGGCCAGGCACAGTGGCTCATGCCTGTAATCCCAGCACTTTGGGAGGCCGAGGTGGGCGGATCACAAGGCCAGGAGTTCAAGACCAGCCTGACCAACATGGTGAAACCCTGTCTCTACTAAAAAGTACAAAAATTAGCCAGGCATGGTGGTGCACACCTGTAATCCCAGCTACTCAGGAGGATGAGGCAGGAGAATCGCTTGAACCCGGGAGGGGGAGCTTGCAGTGAGCTGAGATTGCGCCACTGCACTCCAGCCTGGGTGACACAGCAAGACTCTGTCTCAAAAAAAAAAAAAAAAAAAAAAAAAAGCAGACCATAGAGGGTGATAAGCTTCTTTAGAAAAGTGGCTGCCTAGAATATGGCTTCCAATTTTACATGGGCAAAGACTTGCTAAAAATATATATGCAGTCATGTGTTGCTTAATGACGGGATTACGTTTTGAGGAATGCATTTTTTAGGCGATTTTGTCATCGTGTGAACATCACCGAGTGTATTTACATAAACCTAGACAGTGCAGCCCACTACACACATAGGCCGTATGGTGCACACATATGGTGCACACACTGCACACCAAGGTTCTACGGCTCCTAGCTGCAAACCTTACCGCACGCTACAGTGTGAATACTGCAGGCAGTCGCAGTGTACAAACAGTGTATTTGTGTTTCTAAACACAGACAAGATACAGTAAGAAGTCAGTGTTACAATCTTACAGGACCACCATCCCCTGTGCTGTGCACCGTCGGTGAAACATGGTCTGGCCACACATGACTGTATACTCTCTGTTTTCACACCTGCTTTACCTTTCAGGCTTAATCACTTTCAATTCTTTAATTGTGTTAGGCTAGGAGTTAATGGAATCTAAATTGCAAATAAGTATAATCCAGTACTTCGTTTCACATAACCCAAGTTGGAAAGGAAGCCAAAAAGCTCTGAGGTCTTGGTGGACACTGCATTTGTATTCGTTCTTGTTTTTCAACTGTGGTAAAATACACATAACATAAAATTTACCATCGAAACTATTTTTAGGGGTACAGTCAGTGGCATTCAGGATATCCATGTTGTTGTGCAGCCATCACCACCGTTCATCTCCAGAACTTCTTTGTCTCCCAACACTGAAACTCCACACCCATTAAACACTCACTCCCCATCACCCCCCAGCCCCGGCACCCACCATTCTACCTTTTGTCTCCGTGAATCTGACCAGTCTAGTGACCTCATATAAGCGGAACATCCCCAGGTTCATCCATGTCGTAGTGTGTGTCAGCATTTCCTTCCCTCTTTATGGCTGACTGATATTCCACTGTGTGGATGGACCTCATTGTGTTTACCCATGCATCTGTTCATGGACACTTGTGTTGCTTCTACCTTTTGGCAATTGTGAGTAAAGCTGCTATGAACATGGGTGTACAAGCATCTCTTTCAATTCTTTTGAGAATAGACCCAGAAGTGAAATTGCTGAATCATTTGGTCATTCTGTTTATAACTTTTTGAGCCACTGTTCTCCACAATGGCTGTACAATTTTAGTTTCCCACTAACAGTGCACAATAGTTCCCGTTTCTCCACATTGTCGCCAGCATAACACATTCTGTTCTTTGGGCATTAGCCATCCTAGTGTGTGGGGGTGCCTTTGGTTCTACCATGGACCCGTGCTCCTGACTAAGCCAGTCCCTACTCCCTGGCGCCAGCCTTGCCCCTGGTCCAGCAGCCCCACCTCTCACACATCAGCCCTGTCACATACCACCCCCACCCCTCACACACCAGTCCGGCTCCCTCACACCAGCTCCACCCCTCACACACCAGCTCCACCCTCTCACATACCAGCCTCACGGCTCACACACAAGCCCCACCCTCTCACCTATCAGCCAAACCCCCCTCACACACCAGCCCCACCCCCTCACACCAGCTCCACCCTCTCACACACCAGCCACGCCCCTCACACACACCCAACACCCCACACCTACCCCACCCCCTCACAACAGCCCTGCCCCTCACACACGCACCCTTTCACACCCACCCCA